TGAGTCCAGTCTTGAGTTAGTCAACATGATGACTTAATGAGATGAATGGAGTGCTCAGGTGTGTTATTGCTTGGTTGGAAAGAAAACCTGCAGCCACACGGCCCTTTCTGGAACCAGTTTGACACCCCTGCTCTAACCCTTGATTTTTTATTTTCAGTCATAGATGTGTGAAGTGAAAGGTAGGAAGACCACCTACCATCTGCAGATGCTTCCACAGGTCTGTGTAGACTGTGTTTGAAAAAGCAAACTCCTTCAGGTAGCTCTGCAGAACAAGGAAAGAGTTTATGTGAAAAAAACCTAAATGTCCTCATGAGGCTTATTACAGAAGAAAATAATGACAAAATACTGTTTAGTCACATTTCTGTGACCTTACCTGGAGTCCTTTGGTGAATACCGGTTCAGTCAGGAAGTCTGAGAGCATCCTGAGGACAGACGCTCCCTGAGGATGAGAACGATTTTCATTGATCCGTCCTTTCCTGTTATTTGCACAAACCAGAGGTGACAGTGGCACCGCCCCCAGCTGCATGCTTATGTGTTACGCCTGACCTTGCTGTATGAGATGGCATCGAAGAGCTCGCTGATCTGGGCTGGTTTCTGGATGTCTTCCTCCTTGGAGGACAGCGGGTGAGATGAGGTCAGAGCATCAACAGCAAACACCCTGTGGACGTCGCTCAGGACGATGAGGTCTTTCTGCCAGGAAACAAGCATGTTCTGCATCAAGAACTCAGACAAACAGTTTCAGCCACAATCAACATCCAGCATAGAGAAAAAGCCATACCACATTCCACTCTGGTTCGGCTTCGTCCGCACCCAGATACTCGACATACGATGCAAAACCTTCATTCAGCCACAAGTCGTTCCACCAGCGCAGAGTGACAAGGTTTCCAAACCACTGCAGGGATAAATAAAACATGTTACACCTATAAAACTAACCAGAATCCTTCCCTAAACATAGAAGTACCACTTCAGATCTAGATTTTATTCTGACTCAAGTCCTTAAATGGATCTAGTTGCACCAGAGATTGTAAATAATCTCCTGTTAACCTTTGATAAACTTTGCCAAGCACTCATGCTTGAAATTTTAAGCTCATAGTTAACTGTGTATGTCGAGGAGAAAATGTGCTGATGACAGAATTAAAAGTCTCACATCAGGAACCTGATAAAGAACCAAAACAGACCTTCTGCTGTACTTTATCCCACAACTTCTAGATTTATGCATTTAAAATACTGGTTCCAGGGGCAGATCAACGGTGTGACAATGGGCCCCCTACTTTTATGTCATTAAAGTAATCCCATATTTGTCCAAAAACCTTTTATAGCCTTTAGATGATGCATTACTTACTAAATAATATGATATATACACTGTGATATATACATGTTTATAGTATAAAATAACAGCTTTGCTACTATTAGAACTGGGTTTCCAAATAGAACAGCTGGTATGACGTGGGAGAATGTAATAAAAATATATTTTTTCCATATCTTTATGTTTGCAGTTTGCTGATCGGAATAAAAAAAGACAAAAAACACGAAGGATGAGAAGAAAGAAAAGAGATTAGAGAAAAGAAGAATGAGAGACCTGAAGGGTCACGGGTGGCAGAGGCCCCTGAAAGTTTAACAGCTGAAGAAGAGAATGAGGATGAGGAAGATGATGTTAGCCTAAGTGGTGAAGATGAGCTTTCAGTCAGAGAGAGATAGAAGAAAAGTGATGGAGAAAAAGAAGATCCACATGGTAGAAAGTTTTCTGACCAGCACAGCAATTGTTCTAAAAATGATGTCCTAAAAATGATGTCTGACGTTAATTTAGGTTAATTAAGGTTCTTTTTCTGAATTCTGTATTTATTAATGTCTTTATTTATTTTACTTTAACTAAAAGTTGTTTTTGTTTCTTAGAAGAAAAATGACTCCATAAAGGTTTTAAAGTGTTATTTGGAATATTTTCTTTATTCCAGTTGTATATGAAAGATTTAGTTTCCAGCTTTGCCCTTTGCAACATTTTACTATATCCATCACTGATTGGTTCTGTTTAATCACTTAACTTTTATCCCTTTACCTTCTTATCTAATGAACATTTTCTTTACTCCTGTAAATCTATTTAGCCCCCAGTTCTTTATTATACACCTGGAAGCATCATTTCATCAAAGCTCCCTGTAAGTGTCTGATCTCCGCTTTTTATCTCACCATGTGGGCCAGTTCATGAGCTATGATGGTGGCGATCCTCTGCTTGTTGGAGTTGGAGGAGAATTCCTCATCATACAGCAGCGCCGTCTCTCTGTATGTGATCAGGCCCCAGTTCTCCATGGCTCCCGCATTAAAATCAGGGATGGCTATCTGATCTGTGGGACGGAGAAGATGTCAAGGGGTCAGATAGATCTAACAGAGGCTGGACGAAATCCAAGGAGGAAACATACAACATGCATATGAAGCTACATTGGTTAAAAGGTAATAGCTGGAAGCGCAGGATGAGTTAAAACTAATTCATTTGAAACAATACTGTTGATGATTGTGAAAACAAAGCCTCTCATAGAATAAAGCTCCTCAGCAGCAGATACTCTTGTTGTGTTGTTTTATTTTGGAAGTGAACATAGAATGTGGGCCATTTTTTGGCCCACTCTAGGGGGGTGCTGGGTGTCTTATTATTTAAACACTGTTAGACCTGATCATTTACATTATATTCTGAAGTGGTAATTTTAACAGCTGGTTTGAGGCAGCGCTGTGTCCCTTTTGGCCACTAGGGGCACTAGACCTGTAACTTCCATGTTTCGCTCCCCCTAAAGGTCGCTGGCAGCACTGCACTGTCTTCAACCTCTGTGTTCTGGTTCTGGTATCCGATCTAAAATCCTGGAGTTCTTGTTAAAGACGAGGAAACGTTCAGCCTCTAGAGCACTTTGGGTCACATGACCCATTCAGAGATGGAGCGACCCTCTGAGATCACAAAGGAGAGTTTAAGAGAAGGGCAGCACCAAGGAGCATACGCAGCAGGAGATGATGATAGACTAGAAAATGTTTTCATAAATCTCAAATGAAGCCAGTATTCGCCATACTATACATCACTTCCACCATCTTTGTTAACTAAATGTTAGCTAGATGAATACAGAACCAGGAGATAGTAAACATCTACAAAAAAAATAAAAGCTCAAGAGCTGATCCCTGAGGAACTCCATTGATTAACAGTTGCTACATTCTCATTAAACCCAAAATAAACAATTCCAGTCTGGTTTCCGTTCCCATCATAGAACTGAAACTGCTTTTATAGAACAGAGGATTTCTTGATGACAGCTGACTGTGGTTTACTCCTTGATCTGAGTGTGGCCTTCAGCACCATCTCCCATACTATCCTCTTCAACAGATTATCTTACTCCTTAGAATGGTTTTATTTCTACCTTAGTGGTCGCATTCAATCTGTCCAATTCAAGTCATTCCATTCCTGGCCCTCCCCTGTGGTTTCTGGGGTACTCAGGGTTCTGTCCTTGGCCCCCTGCTCTTCATCATATATCTTCTTCCTCTTGGCAATATTTTCTGGAAGTTTAACATTTATTTTCATTGCTACGCGGATGACACCCATCTCTACCTATCTATCAAGCCTAACCCTGTCCTTCATCCCTCACCATGTGTCTAAAATAAAATCTTGGTTCACTACCAATTTCCAAGAGTTGAACATTGATCAAACAGAGAACCTCCTTGTAGGAACAAAATCAATATTATCCAAAATGCACCATTTTTCTCTTTCCATGGACAGCTCCATATTTCTGTTAGTGGGTGTCATCTTTGACAGCTCTCTTTCTTTTACAATTCAAATCAATAATATAACTCATTAATATCTCTACCTGCACAATATTAAATGCATACGTCCATCCCTTTCCCCTCAATCTGCCTCTATACTTGTTCAAATTGTCGATTCCTGAATTGATTATTGCAACTTCTTATGTCTGGTCTCCCTTAAATCACTCTTCATAAACTCCAGTTAATCCAGAACTCAGCTGCATTAATCATTACAGGTACATCATTAAATCACATTACCCCGATTTCACAGCAACATCAAAATCCAATAAAAAATTATTTTCTTTACATTCAAGTTCATTCATAATCTCGCACTGCCTTACTTCTCTGATTTCCTTTATGTCATCTCACCCTCCAGCTCCCTCAGTTCTACCTCCTGCTCTCATCTCTCTGTTCCTTTTTTCCGTCTCAGGACCTTTTGGAGCAGAGTTTTCTCTCGCTCTGCCCTCAAATTCTGGATTCCCCACTATCAGACATCTGTAATATGGACACTCTACATCTGTTTAAATCTAAACTCAACACACACCTCATCAGAATGCTTCCTGATTTTAACTTTTATTCATGATGTTTTTATTGTTGTTTTTAATAAATCCAGCCTTCCTTCATAAATCCTCAATAGTAAAATGCATTTGAGTGTTTTAAAATGCACTTCTAAATATAATTTATTATTATTATGAAGTAATTTAGATATTGTAAAACTGCAAATTGAAAATAATTAGCTAAGCCTTATCAGGATAGATAGTCGAATCAGGCATGGAGGATATTCATGGACTTAGCAGCAAAGATTAGTTACAGGGTTTTCCCCCAGAGGAACGTGCAATATCCTCTAACCAGACCAGACAGTAGGAATAAAAGTTGAGGAAACATATTTTTTAGATTTTTGTTGTTTGCCAGCCAGGGTGCCTGTGTTAGTCCCTCTGCTATGAAACAACACGCTAAAACTAATCCAAGAAGGGTTCAATAGAGATGAAGCCAGAACTAAATTGCAATTGGGTTAAAACGCTCATCTACAGTAAGCATATTTATTCATTGAGACTGGTTCCAAAGATGTTTATCCAGTGAAGGAGAGGCTGCCCGCAGCATCACACCACCTCCACCAAAGGCTGCTTGCCTTGGTGGGAGAGTTAATGGGCAGCCTAAAACCGCAGCCCTGCTGAGGCTCAAATGTGGCACCAAGAAAGGAAAAAAGCAAGATTTCTAACAATATGAGACATAAAACCAGGAAGCATCTTCAAAACAAGAGCAAGAAGATACTAACTTCTACTCACTTTCATTCCCTAATAGGTTTAGGAATAACTACATTTTTCTAACCCTGAGGAAAGATGATATAATATCACTCCAGATGTTTTTGTGTTAGCAGAGTCACTCAGGTGGAAGCAGTTAGAGGCCGAATCCAGGCTGTCAGGTGACTGTTTGTCTTGTAAAGGGTTATTGTTCTCATTCGAGATGACTGCCATAAAATTCACTCACAGGATAAAGATTATCTGATAAACCTTGATGCTGTTTCACATCTTTCATAAAACAGCCATAAAACATCACAGCTGACAGATAAGAGTCTTACTCTGACTTCCAGCCTGGACGTGAACCACTGAGAGCAGAGGAAGGATGAGGATGAACTTTTATAGAGTCTAAAGAGGCTGATGCAGCACCTCGCCTTTCTCCATGGTTTCATCCATAAAGGTAAATCATTCAGAGGTTTGCCTGTAAACACTATAACGACTGATGACCATTTAAAGCAAAGAAGTTACTGTGCTCCACCTTCCCACCTTAAGTGCCCATGAGAAGAAACACAGAGATGTTTGCTGGTTCAACTCTATCTTGTTTCCATGTCATGCACATTTCCAGAGAAGGTACTGCATAATCAACCCTTACCAGAGATGGGAAGTAACGAAGTACAAATTCTTCGTTACTGTACTCAAGTAGATTTTTCTGATATTTTTACTTTACTTTACTCCTTATTTTTATGGCGACTTTTTACTTCTACTCCTTACATTTTTACACAAATATCTGTACTTTCTACTCCTTA